CGTTTTTTTCCCACAGTAGTCTCTGATTTTTTCAACTCAATTATTAGTTAAAAGCTGCCCTAAAGAGTAGAGAATAATCTCACTCACTCTAGGATATCCAATCCTCGATCCAGATTTCCAGAGATTTTCGAGGCAAACAAACCCTATTTCCAACAGGTAAAAACATAACCTTATTAACTTCAATTTTTTTTTTATGCAAACTCGAGGCACATTTTCTTTAAATACTATCAAAGCTTTATAATGATTTCATCAAATTCAATTAATTAATACATTTTTGTTCAATTTTTCTATTAAAATAATTTTCAAGTAAACAGTTACATTATAGTTTCATTTTCTAATTCAATCTATTCATGAAGTGCTTCGCTATTGGTTCAGTTACAAATACAGTGTGTTATAATAGTTTTTCTCTTAGGGTTTCTTTCGAGGGTTCTTTTATCACCGAGTTTTCACTCACGGTTACAACAAAACACCTTCAATTGTAACCGAAATTGAGCTAAAGGCTATCAGACACCAGCCTAAGTATTTGGACGGTTATCCAAGCCTTCGGGACCGTAAATTTGAACCGTAAGATTAGTTGGACTACCGAACCGCAACCAGTAGCCAGGACTAATCTGATTAATTGTATCAACCACTATCACCTGGAACATTTTGGTATCGTACTAGTTTTAGTTAACCTATATATATTATTATTGTTTATTTACATTCTGTCCCTATTTGTACACCTCAGTGATCACTAACGCTATTTCAGGGAGTAATTCATTTCTTGCCCCAATGTGGCAAATGAATTATTAAATAGGTAACTTAACTAGACATAACCTGATTAATTTATGTCAACTTACTGGTGTAAGATAACCGTTCCGAGAACTAATTCTTTGCTTATTGTTTTTCTTATTTCTTTTATTTTAAATTTTCAAACCTCACATTTCATATATACATTTTTATTACTCAGTTGGTTATTGAGTTACAATAACACATTAGCTTTTTACATATAATTCAATTGTTTATAACTATAGCTATTATTCCAATAGTAGCCGTACTGTATTTGTTGATTGACCCTTCATCAAAAGGTCACTTCAATTATTAATTAATGATAGCTCCAGTGATTGTTCTTTCTCTTGATTAGTTTTTTTTCTAGTTTCTTTTACTAATAGTTTTCTTTGATAATATTGAAGATTTACTTGATTATATTTAAAAAAAAATTATTATCTCAATATATACCTATTAATTATTCAGCCATATGGCGGCATCTATTGCCGGCTGAATTAATTATTTTAACGGTGACCTCGAGAAGGCCATAGGCATTTTCTTTTGTACTACCTTGATCTACTCGACGTAGTAATTTGTTGGTCTTTAAGCTCGTTAATAGTTTTCGAACGTAGTACTTTTCACAGAGCTGAGGGTTGACAGGTTGATAGGTTGTCAAGTGAAATATAGGTTTATAGTCCGGGAGTTAACGACACATTTCATTGTACCATGTCCGCAAGCTTCATTCTTTTTGTATGTGTTATGCTTGTAGTAAATGAACGTCTCCGGTGCACCAACACGGAGGGTTACAATTACAGCAAAAAATGAACAAAAAAAACTTATAGCCGCATAAGCGAAACTTATTGTACGTATTGGTAGAAGCATAGAAAGCTTAAAAAATATCGTCTGCCACCAAAATTCCACAATAAAAGTCGTCTGCCCCGACTGCCACCTACATAAGTAAGCACAAATAAAATTTTAAAAAAAATTATACTCGCAAGGCTGAAATTATATATTTTTACAGTGAGTTTGACATGTGTTTCCTAACAAGTGCGCAAAGTAAGTCTTGTTCGCACGCTGACTGCAGTTGACCGAACGACGCGGAGCGGAGTTCGGGCAGCAGTCGAGTGCGAACAGGACACTTTGCGCAAGAGTCATGAACAGTATTTTTTCTACGAGCGAAAAAATTTATAAAAATAAAAATTGAGACAATCACCTTGAAAAAAAGATTCAAAACAAAATACCCATTCAATATATAATATGGACATTTTATCGTGTGTAATGCATTGGATTGCATTGGCATGATATTTTACCGTTGTCTTATCAATTTAATTTTGATGTATATAATGTCAAAGGTTATCTTCATATTGATTAGGACATTTTAATTTTTTGCTTTGTCTTATCAATTATTTATCTTTTGTTTTGATATTATACATCACCTTACCATTGTCGATATGGACATTCTATCGTGTGTCATGCATTGGGTTGCATTGGCATATATTATGCCAATGCAACACAACCGTTGTCTTATCGATTTATCTTTTTTATTGATGTAAATATCAAAAAATATCTTTGTTTTGATTGGGACATTTAATTTTCTCCTTTGTCTAACCAAGTTATCTTTTGTTTTGATGTAAATTTACATCATGATTCACCGTACCGTTGTCGATTTGGACATTTTTCATGTGTCATGCCTAGGATTGCCATGACATATATCTTACCGTTGTCTTATCCATTTATCTCATTTATGTTTAAACTGGCAAAACAATGGTAAATAAAGTAGAAAGTTCCGTCAAGTTTAAAAGACTACACCCTACTATGACTTTTTCTCAATTATGACTGTTTCTCAATTGCGACCTACCAGTAATGATTCCCGTGAGGACGAGTGATACACGTTAGATATCAGACCGAAATACTTGACAATCGCTTTCAGCTTTCCTTTTTTCTTCCTGTACTATCTTTTCCATCCCTTTATATCTTACCTAGTTTTTTAAGTTTATCAAAAAGAAATATAAACTTCCTCCTTTTTTTCTTTTTTTGGAGGAGAGCAGTGTAACCTATAAAGTTACTTGTTCCTTTTTTTTTAAATTTAATTTTATATGACCCTGTTTAATGTTGACAGTCTGGTGACTAACATTTAACATAGAGGGCTCCTGCTACTCATAATGTTAGCAATTATTGAATTATTACACTAGAGGGCACGATTTTCATTGAAATTTCACGTACTGGTTAGTACCAACGTTTTCCGTTGAGAGGAAGCGCTGTATGCTCATATTGTCCATTTGAATTCTCTTCCTTTTCGAATTGTGTCGTCAAAATGCAAAGTCGATCGGCCATCTTCTCGAGACAACCGTGCCGTAGAATAAGAAAGTACCTTATCGGCCTTCAGGCAATATCGTAACGAAATAAAGTTGCGTAGAGCAATAATTCTTTAATTACCAAAAAAAATTAATTAAAACGTCTCGAGATTACCGTTTTATTTAAGTTTGAATTTCAACACCCCTCGTGGTATGTTTTTTTTTTAATTTCTTTTTAAGTAATAGCTTTTCAAGAAATGCCTTATTACTTAGGGTCTTTCGGAGAGCCGTTTCTCTCAATAAGTCCATTCCAAAAAGGCCACATTTTCGTGGAGTGTGGCTTAGAGCTTTTGAAGGGGTTCCTACCCTACAAGTATCATAGCTATTTGCACGGTTATCACTTAAGGGATATTTAAACTAAGTGGTGCTTTGAATGTGACTTTTGTTTCTACAAGTGTGACATTCAAAGCTCCACTTGGATTAAATATCTCTTAAGTTACAGCGGTGCAAATGGCCATGAGACCCTCACAAGTCGATACGTTTTCCCCACATTTGACGTCAATTCTAGTCCCTTATCTGCCTGGATTCTGGGCTGGAATCCGCAAGTTCCATGTGCCCTTCGTCAAGTGACCGAGGATGGATGGCTTCCGTGCTCTACCTTATATTGGGATGGAGGCTTGTATCACGTTCTCTAATGACTTTTAATACCTTTTCTTTTATTAAATCAGTTTTATAGTCAATTAACAAATTTAAGATAATTTTTTTTATATGATTTGCATGCAACATTTAAACTCTCTGATTCTTGACACGATGGTGGAGAATTAGCTTTCGATTTATCGAATTTATTATGGATTTGTCTTTGCATAACTTTTAATATTGCCCTAAATTTTATCATTTTTATCAATAATAATCGATAAGTATTTTGAACAAAGGTCAAGGTTGGACATCATGTTCTGAATTTAAAATTGTTGAGTAATAGGCTACAGTCAAAAATCAATTTTTAACCCTGACTTATATATTTGAGGATTTCTATTATATTTAAAGACCATTAAAGACCATTTAACGGTTATATAGCCCAACTTCCGATTTCTTTCAGGTACAATTTGATTTTATTGAATAAATTTTTTTACAGTAGCTGACCATATTTATCAATACAATTTTCAATAATTTTTTTTTTTTTTAATAGTTTTCTGGAAACTTAAATCTATATTTTCTTTTGAAATTGATGATATGGCCAGCGACTGTTAATGAATTTATATGGCAACTATATTGAGGTACATTTTAATATTATTATTTTTCAATTTTGAATTTGATGAAACTGCTGATTGAGAGTGGGCTTCTATTTATTGATTTTATTTAAATTGTTTTATCAGCAATTGCTGTTACACTTTGAAATTATTTAATTTTTGATTTTCAACCTCACTGTGAAAATATATACTATTTCAATTTGAAATTTTACTTAATTATTTTATTGGTTTACCTATACGTTAAGATTTGAGTTGTGTGCATTATTTATGTCTTTTTCAGAATTACCTATCACCATTTGCTGATTATTTTCTAGGTGTGTTTCTGAATTTTCACCCTCCTATATTTTAAGCAATTTTATTATTATTATTATTATTATTTTTTTTCAATTCAGTGGCGCCCTTACCATTCTGTACTGATTATACTATCAACCCACACCTAATAGTTTTTCGCTGAGCAAACCGAGCATATTATGGGACCCTTGTTAATTTATTAACGAAAGAGGTTACAGTACCTGTAACTTAAATATTATGGAAAAATTTTAATTAATGAAACTTACAATGATGGGTAGGTATATAGCAACAAATGAGTCGAGCAAATACATCAATAATTTGAAAAAATTACCAATTACATTACAAAATTCTATCGCCCTAATGGGAATGAAAATAGAATATAGGAGAAGACGATAAAGACAAAATAAATGAATCCACTTACATTCGGAATTCTTATAGTTAATGCCAAGGAGAACTCCCTTGGAATGTTCCGGCCGTCCTCGTCTGGAAAAAGCACCGAGGCCGGTATCCAGATATAGGAATTCGGCGTGAGTCGCCATGCTGTCGGCCTGTCTGGAATCGGTTGCCAGCGATCTCTCGAGGGATGGAAAAATTTGCCCTCTTTCAGGCTGAGCGGAGTCACAGTCTCGTTACAGCTAAAAGAGAATGATTAAATTGACGTTTATTATGATGTACGAGCAATAAAATATGATAAGCAATCTCTCTGTAAATGCTCTAGTGGTATTTGTTCTCATATTTGTTTTTTATTTATACTTTAGGACCTCACGAGATTACTGATCAAGTTTTAGCTTAGTCATGGATATTGGACAATTATGCAAAAATACATTTCCAAAGTTCTTAGGAGGCCTATTTTCTATTATTGACCAATAATTTCCAAGTTATTTCATCTATTGTCAACTAATAACCAAAGGCGTCGGTATAGAAGCCAGACGCAATAGAAAAATGGCTCCTGCCTTCAATAATTTTTTTCTCAAATTCGTTATAATTTCGTTTCAATATTTATGCATTTCAATTACGTTTTGTGAAAACTTTATCTCGATGGGATTTACCGTTTGTTAGGCTACGGCCTTTCGGCAAACATTTGAAAAATGAGGGTGATATTTACCAATGAAATTAGGCAAAATTTATTCATCTTTCCGTGCACAATTTTTTTGTGTACGATGCACATTTACTTTTTTGGAATTTGCCATTTAATGACTCTATAAACATATAAAAACTAATTAGCACAAATTATTACATATTGTTGGATGTTTTGCTTTGATGAAGATACAATTGCATTATGGAGGTAATATTTGGCCTTTTTCGCTTGCTGACTTAGGGCGCCAAACTGTCGGCTGCTTGGATTATTTTAGGTTGAGGGTCGACGTTCCCTTGAGTGCCTGAAGATGCTGGAATCTTTTGTGGAAATGGGGTTAAGCTCAGGAAAAGTAGTAGCAGACCATTTTTAAATTTTCCACCCAAGAATGCATTATTTTAGTGGCCTTAAAAAACTTAATTGTCTGAAAATATAAAATAAAGCTTTGGCTTTATATTAATTTCCAAAAGAAACTGTCTTTATGAATCAAGCGTCAAGAAATATTATCAAAGGACAAAATAATATGAGCTTCCTGAAATGGGGGAACAAAAATTATCCTCTGAATTTCACTGATATACTCAACTTGCATATTTTTCATTGAAAACTCCCAAATAGCTTTCAATCTTATGAACGAAAACAAGCTCGAGAATTTGGGTCGGGAGAAAAAATATCTTACGTATTTTTCAAAAGTTAATTAAGTTGACAATGTGCTCATGAATATTTAATTGGGCTCTGGGAGGGCGTAAGAGCTTAAGATGTTTTCCTTGGGATTTGGACGAACGCATTTTTTTCCAGATCAGTTTTTATACTAAGGCTCAAAGTGCTTTCAAGCTTCGTACAAAAAAGATCGCGGGTTCGGGCTTCACACAATATAATTATAGTCAGTATCTGGTTTAATTAAATAAAAAAAGCAGCGGATTGTAGGTACTGAGTACTCATAAAAACCAAATCCATTCCTCCCTTCTACTTGGACACTGTTGTATCCAATTAATCCTTTCTTGCAGCTAAGTTGACACATTAAATAACCATTACCATTAAATGTTTTCATTATGCATTAACTTCTGGCGTATTAAGTATAACTGAACAACTGTCCATTATGTACTGAAATCGAACAACTATAACTCCCTAATCGAGGCGATCATCCACCATCATTTTGGTCGGATTAATAAAACGATTTGCTTTTATCGAATAGCAAATATCGTTAACCCAAATAAACAGTAGTGTCTCTGTTAATCCAACCAACATTTGGCGATAATGGCCTATGTGCTTACTCCATTAACAAAATAAAATTTCGTGCATTGTTTCGCTCTAGTACGAGAACAATCAATAATTTTTGGTTATTTATTCACCAATTCCTGATTCGGCCGGTTAATTTAATCACCCGCTTTTATCTGTAACGGTAAGCAAACATCATTAAAAGGAAATCCGGGCTCACCCAAATAAATTGCAGTGTCTCTGTTGAATGTTAAATCCGGAACATTTGGCCTCCAGGCAATGACGGGTACGTTGCTGAATGCCCGACGAACAAGATACACTGCATGCTGACCAATCACTCCATTGACTCCAGCCTGTAATAAAGACAAAACCATTATTGAGTTAGATGTTTCCCGATGGGGCTGTGTAAACGAAAGGTCTTAGACTAATGAAGACTAAATTACTTTTTCCTTTGAATTTAATTCTCTTCAGTTGGACATAATTTCCATTTTAATAAATTCGCAATGTCAACATTCCAACAGGGCTTTCTGACCAAATGGAATCACGAGAATGTGAATTAAAGGACCATATTATAGGCCGTTAGCTCTGGAATTTGGATTAAATTGGAACCTTTTTTGCCTTGTGCGTGATCTGGAGTGCAAATACCTACTCAAATTAATAAAAAAATACTCGATAGTTTATATTCGCTTATTTCGGTATAATGATCAACACTCCTCCACAATATAAACTGAGAAAGTTTTGTTTCTATATTCCAGCTAACAAATTCTATATATCTATTCGGTTCAGAGTGTGAAAGTTCGAAGTATGACTGCATTGAAATTATTTATAGGCACATATTATTAAACATTCACATTTTCAATCAATTTAATGTTTGATAGCAATGAGATGAATGACGAATCTGACATTTAAATCCACTCATACATTTTACATTATAGTAGATATTCCTTTGACGCCCGAAAAGAGAGTTAAAGAGATAATTATTGTACATAATATTATTGTTCTGCATTGTTGAATATATTCTCGGAATACATAAAAATGAGAAAACAAACTAGAGATTGTAGATATGCAAAAGCTAGTTTATCTTTCCCACACAACATAGTATCAAAATGTAATTAATTATTTCAAAAATATGCAGGGTGCGCTTTGCGCTTTGTAATGTTGCAAGCTAATTGGGTGCTTCTTGAGCTCATTGCTAGCAACTCAGCAGCCGCGAATAACCACGAAATTTACGCCGCCGTAATCAAAATGTGTTGAATGTACTCAAATTATGTAAACTCCGTTCCCGCACATCAGGTAATTCTACTACCATGGAAATAATTATCTTTGTTCGTATTTCAATTTAATTTATAAATGGTTAAATATATATTATTTCTGAAATGTAACTCGTACAATGTCTAATTAGAGTAAGTTTTTACACTAGCTATGTATCATTGGAGTTTCTAGGTAATATTTTGATGGCTTCAAAAAGTCTGTAAAGCAACAGTTTTAAGCTTTTTCCATTGGGTTACTCTAATACCGAAATCTCAAATTTCGATATAGTTTGATTACGCCGTATAACGTACGATTGTAATAAAGTGAAACTGAAAAGGCTAAATAATAGATTTTTTTTTTTTTTTTGGCATTGTAGAATATATGTAGATTGCATTTGCAGTCGTCATAGCTTGTTCCATCCGCTCAACCACTGCTATCTTTCCAGATATTTTGTGCGGCACTCTGCTTCTAGTTAGTGTCCAAGATTTGTAGGCTTGAGGCCTACAGGCCTACAGCGTTCTCAAGAGAACGATTGCTCTTTGTCTTCATCAGCATTATGGAAATAACAATATGGGCGACTAAAACAGAGCAATACGCATCGCTACAGTGGCATCGCGGAACGCTCACCGCTCGCGCGTTCTCAATGTAAACGCGCACTAAAGGCTGCGGTAGGGCAGGTTCAAGGTTGCTAAAGTTGATAGGTTGCCTGGTAATGGCTAACTTGATGACGCATCTGGGGTGCCTTATGGAGATTTGCATTATGTTGAGGCATACCAGATGACGTCATAAAGTTATCAGGCAACCTACCTCTCTCAAACAACCTTGGGGCATGTTGACATAAAATCTGTTTTTTTTTTAAGATAAAAGTCAAACTGACATTATGTTGGCAATACAATGTAAAATTGTCAATGCTTTCAAATTTTTTATGTAGAAAAGGCTTGTGTTGCCAACATGGTTACTAAATTTTTGACTTGGGGAATTATCTTTAAAAAAAAAAAACAGACTTTAGTTCCTGTTATGCCTAGACAGATTCTTTGTACTTTACGTAGACTTGTGCAGCAATTTGCTCAGTCTTTGGCCAGCATACCAACGAGGCGTATGTGACAATGGGTCTGACAAGCATTTAGTAAATCCAATGTACCATTTTTGGTTTTGTCCCCCCTTTTTTTTCTTACAAGTTTGCGACATGTCCAAGTGACCGCTTTAGCTCGTGATATTGTTTTGTTCAGGTCATTTCAACTGAGTTTGCGGTCCAAGGTAACACGTGAATACACACATCCGCGAGAGATAATTGTGTGTAGTTTAGAGTGGGAGCTCGCAGATCCAGCATTCTTCTTTTCGTGAACGGAACTCAGGTCATTTGCTGGGATTTATGGAAAGTGTTTCTTCCTGCTTCCGGATCACGAACCCACGATTCGATAGTATCGTCTATGTACTTTATATAGACGATACTATCGAATCAGGGGTTCGAGATCCGGGTCCTCTGGCTCCAGTTTTTGATTATAGGCACTTTGCATTCGATTATTATTATGTCTTCATGCTGGCCCCTGATTATTACCGCGAGATCATCTGCGTAGGCGTAGCCTAGAATTATTAGTGTCCACAGGAGGAGCGAAAGGACACCACCTTATGGGCAGCCTTCAACCGTGGTGAAAGAGCGATTTATTTTGGCTCAAGTGCCGTTTATATATCTGTTACACAATGGAGTGCATTTGCCTGCTTGGTAGACAAATTGTGTTGGATGAAGCGGTCTGCTATTTAGAGTTTCGTTTATGATATATTGGTCCATTGTCCATTGCTTTCTTTATGGATTTGAAAAGATTTATGTTAAGCTAATGGGTCGATAACGCATTAACCTATCCTTAAGTTCTCCTCTTTTCAACGGCCGTCCTAACATCTCCCAACCCCATCTAGTTACTCCCAGGCGCCCATATTCTCCAGAGGTTGGATGAAGCCTCGGGCGCGCAGAGTGTACCGCCATAGATTTCTACCTCTGTCGAATTTGAGCGCCCTACCCTGACGTGGTGATAGGGCTTAAGTCGCAAAGACAACTAACGAGAGGTACCCAAGCCAAGGTAGGAGGCATCGTGCCAAGGGCTGCATGGCATCGAGGGAGTAATTCCGACAACGATTCTTTTGAAGCACCGGAAGAAACCCCATCGTAATTACCCCTTACTCCTTCACGCGGGAATCTGTAGGAGTGGACCGCTTATTTACCTAGCTACTCTTGGGAATCTTATGGGTAAGAATAAAAATAAAAACAGGCAGGAATATACTGCTGAAAGTTTATGGGCTAGGACCGAAAGCAAAAAGAGGGAAGACCCTCGGTCAAAGGGCAAAAGGAAGGCGGCAGTACTTGTAGAAAACCCCGAAGTTCGGCCGTAAGCCTCCCCGTGCTTGGAGAACCAGGAGGGCTGGAAGACACTGCAAAGGAAGGGCCTAAGCATCTGACACAGGGCATGACAGCTGAGGCCGCCAGGGAAAGGGTAGATAAAGAGAAAGAAGAGAGGATGAAGCAGCAAATGCTGACCCCTGCATCCTCATCTTTGTCCAAAGTGGAGGACTGCAGAGAGAGAAAGAGGTGAAGTGGGAACATCACACCCCCTCAGGGGCCAAACAGCAAGAGGAAGAAAGTGTATCCGTCCAAACCCACCGCAACCGCAGCAGAGGCTAACACCAGCTACGCGGCTGGAGTAAAAAGCGTCCGAATGGAAATTGTGGCAAGGGAATACCTCGAGGTTACGCAAACTGTTAAAGACAAATTCCAACACAACCAATAACATGCTATAATTAGCTTTACCTTCAGTAGGTATCTTTGCAAATAGTGTAAATAAATTGTAGATATATAAAATTGTTGCTTGCATTCACGAGCTAGAGAATCATGAAGGTAAGCAAATTTATTTATTTTCCTTCACTAACCACGGAACAACTGACGGACCTAGAAAGTGCTCGAGTAGAAGAAATTTTGACCAGTACAATGGTGAACCTGAAGTTCGCCTGAATCCATTTCAGGTCAGGACTTGATAATGGTAAACTGCGAAAATGAGCAGACAATCGGCCTGTCTGAGAGAAACTGTACCCCAGCTGAAAGCATGGAAGGGGCCGAGGTTAACTGGATGCACGGGAGAAAACATCCCAAAACCACACACCATAACCGTCTCCCTTCTCAGGAGAAAAGGGCAAGAAGCCGAGAAACTCCTCAAGCTCCTAAAGACCCAAAACGCCGACTACAAGATAGAAGCATGGGAGGTGATTAGCTCAAAGGAGCTCCAGGTCGAGCGAAGTAATCGTGGCGCAGAACGACTCCATGCACTACAGCTTTGGGCGCGTCACGGTGCATGGTTTGAGGAAAGATGAGAAAGGAGCCAAGCCGGAAGAAAAGATGGACATAGACCCACCAGTTCCTCATCTCAGCAAGAGTCAACCTCAACCTCCAGAACTAATAATTCCCACTAAGAGAAAGAAGCATTCAAACTGGAGGTAACTGAGCCCAAGCCAAGTAACACCAAGGGTGAGAAAAGGATGAGACATACATCGCCAAGGGTGAGGACAACGCCAACTCGCCTCCGTCTCGAGTAACCAATGGACAAATACAACTACCAGGGTAGCCCAGGTCAACCTTCATCACGCCAGAGGATCCTCTGCTGTAATTGCGACGTGGGTTGGGCAAGGGCTTGTGGATCTTGCACTGATCGAAAAATCGTGGGTATACAGGGGGCAGGTAAAAGGACTGACCATCAAAAACTCAAAGGTAATATGGGACGATAGGCACGAAACGCCCAGGGCCTGCATAGTAATCAAGACACATAATAATTAAATTGTTTCAGAATATATGACAAGGGATCTAGTACCAATCATGGTGAATTTCCACCACTTGGGCTGACAGTGAACCATTGTGATAGCAGCTGCATACTTCGCTGGGGATGGACCACGCACATCACACACAGAACTGCAGGAGCTAGCAGAATTCTTACTTGAAATGAACTTTGTCATTTACAATAAAGGGAATACACTTACTTTTGGAACACGGGTAAGGGAGGAAGTACTAAATATAACATTTGGTAATTCTTAAATAACGAACTAATTGAGAAACTGGAGAGTC